AAAGGTACAGGGTTTCAAATATTTGACTAACAACTCAATGTAAACTATAATAAACAAAGGTACAGGGTTTCAAATATTTGACTAACAACTCAATGTAAACTATAATAAACAAAGGTACAGGGTTTCAAATATTTGACTAACAACTCTATGTAAACTATAATAACCAAAGGTACAGGGTTTCAAATGTTTGACTGACAATTCAATGTAAACTATAATAAACAAAGGTACAAGGTTTCAAATATTTGACTAACAACTCATTGTAAACTATCAGAAACAAAGGTACAGGGTTTCAAATATTTGACTAACAACTCTATGTAAACTATAATAAACAAAGATACAGGGTTTCAAATATTTGACTAACAACTCAATGTAAACTATAAGAAACAAAGTTACAGGGTTTCAAATGTTACTTCAATGCTTTTTAAAGTATTTTGATACCAAGTAGATGAGTTGTTTTAAACATATTCGACAAGCAAGATCACAGATTTATATTCCATTTAGTGTCAGTTTTCACTTTTGGTTTTTGTCATTTAATACATAATGTTTCCTTAATACAGACTTCATAATGATATACACAAGCTAAACCAGAAAATTCTGAACAGTAATTAGCTCATTTGGATATGCAAAGGAATGTGATTGGTTATGTTATGATGTCATTTCCTTGGTATTATGGGATATCAATGATTGAAAATGACAGAACAAATGAAAAGTACGAAGACGTTCATGAAGCGGTTAGTTTTCAAAAGTTGGTGCCTACTTCATTAGATGGATGGCCCACTTTTTGAATGTTAGTGGGGTATTTTGCCCACTTGAGAAAAATTCTAGAAGCAACACCGTATATATATTTTTTAAAATTCCAAATAGCCAAGTATCTCGAAAGGTAAGTTATGCTCTGACTCATAAAATGTTTGAAATGAATATTACATATTTAACTACAAAAAGAATTAATGTTCATTCAGTTTGTACTGCTTAACTTTGATGATGGACATGTATGTTTAGCTGTCTGAAACAAAAAAGGTCCACTTGTTTCTCTTGATTTAATACTCGTATAAAAATTATTTGTTGCACACAAAAAAAAAAAACATTACATGGTAATTCAATTTTATAACTATAAACTAGTTTTAAGTTCTGCATGATCTGGAGCAAAAACTTAAAAAAAAGTGAACCTAAAAACATGATTGTTTTCTGGGAAGTAATGAATGAGAAAGGAGTTCATATTGTGCTCTTTAGTCATACGCAACTCACTACATCAAAATGGTTCAATGTACAGAGCTCAAAATTTTCATAAATTTTAGTATATAAAAACATTAAAATTTATATCAGAAGTGGTACTATTAATCGAAAAAAAATAATTTTTTTTTAAGAATTCATTTCTCAGTACTCCATTTAAACATTACATCAATAAAGATATAATCAAACCCTCACGTATAGTTCTAGTGAATGTCATGTTCTTGTTGTGAGTAGAGTACTTTTATTTAAAATTGTGTTATGTTAAAAGGAAATGGTTGTTGCACATACCAGAGTTATTTTTATAATTGTCTGAATCTTGAATACTCAAAGTGTGAAAGTTTTATGGATTTTTGTTTGTAATGCCATTCAATAGATAGCAAAATAATTTTTGTTACATACATAGATACTGACATACATGCTACATCCATTATAGTAAGATTTCTTAGAAAATCTTGGAATGTTAGCCAAATAAGATACTCGGTTTAAAACTTTAAAATAAATCAACTTGTAATAAGTTCCAAACAGCTTACCTTCTCCAGTATAGATGTGCTCATAATGACAATTTTCACCTCGTGGGCATCTTCCCTTCACACTAAAATACTTGCAGATGTATTGCTCATCTTTAGCTTCTGTAACACATCCAGAAAGACAGTTTTCATATAAATGTGCTGTGCAAAACTATCAAATATATATGAATGAGGTACTTATATTTAAATCAAAGAATTAGACCTACTCTAGTTACAGAAGTTTCTGCTAACGTAAATATAAGGTAGTTTTGTCACATGAAAATTGAGTAAAAGTTTCATTTTTACAGTACCTTGGAAAGCAACTATTTTGATGGGAAAGCTTTGGTTTGATTCTCGTTAAATACAAAGTTACACCTTGGGCTATTTGTGCTCTGCCCACCACAGGTATTGAAACCTAATTTTTAGTCATAAGCATACAGACTTACTGCTGAGCCACTGGGTTGTTTGACAGGAAAGCCTATGTGTGTGCGTGTATATATATACACATACAGTGTAGCTTCTAAGATGCTTACTTTGCATATTTACGCTATTTTGATTGCCATGGTGCAAAATAATTGTTTGCCTGCATACTACTTCATGAATAAAATAGAAGTACGCATTTTAATTTTTCGTGTGGACCCTCTGTTCGAAATGAATTATGAATGACTTCATAATGATATATCGCATTCGTAACAAGAAAATTCTGAACAGTAAAATTTGGATATGCAAAGGAATGTGATTGGTTATGTTATGATGTCATTTGGTTTTGCAAGAGATTTCCTTGGTATTATGGGATATCAATGATTGAAAATGACGGCACAAATGAAAAGTACGAAGACGTTCACGAAGCGGTTAGTTTTTAAGAGTAGATGCCTACTTCATTAGATGGATGGCCCACTTCATGGATGTCAGTGGGGGATTTTGCCCACTTGAGAAAAATCCTAGAAGCAACACCGTATACATTTTTCAAAACTCCAAATGGCCAAATATCTCGAAAGGTACGTAATGCTCTGACTCATAAAATGTTTGAAATGAATATTACATATTTAACTACAAAAAGAATTAATGTTCATTCAGTTTGTACTGCTTAACTTTAATGACGGACATGTATGTTTAGCTGTCTGAAACAAAAAAGGTCCACTTGTTTCTCTTGATTTAATACTTGTATAAAAATTCTTTCTTGCACAACAAAAAAGAAACATTAAATGGTAATTCAATTTTAAAAGTATAAACTAGTTTTATGTTCTGCATGATCTGGAGCAATACTGTTCTGTAAACCTTTCAATATTATTTGTTAGATTCCATTTGTCGCAGCATACATTTATGCAGGACTGGTGGAGAAATAAAACTTTTTATTTTTTTTCTTTATTTTCATGCAAATTTCAGAAACTGTACACGGGAAAAACTTAAAAATACAAACTATTCCTTTTGTATCCTAGACAGATATATAGTGTGGTTGAAGTATTATTACATATATATATATTGTTCTTTACTTTCACTCATAAGTTCTAAAAATTTACATGTACGTATACAGTTTCTATTTTAAGGACACACTAATACTAAAAAAAAAAGAGGTTAATCACTTCTCATTTTATTAATCTTGTCAATTTTCATCAAAGAAAAAACATCTTGTTTGGCCTCTACGTTTATCTTGATACGATATTGTATTATATAAGGATACACTTTTGGCAAAAATATGGAAATATAGTGGGCCGCTCAGTTGAGCACATACTTCCACCACGCAAAGTTGGTCATATTCGACTCTCTAAAAATACAAATATGTGTTAGTATGTCTGTCGTTATTAACAGACATTGACCATTTTTGGCAGGACAATGAGGAATAATATTTTATATATGTCCAAAAGTTTCATCAAAATCCAATCATTTTTGACTGAGTTATAGAGTAAAAATAGTGTGAATAATTGGTCCCTGTGTTAACAGATAGGGATTTTTTGTGATCTTGCTGTGATCTTGAATTTTAACTTTGACCATCCAAAAACTAAGCACTTATAAGTTGAGTCATAATCTAAATGTATACCAACTTTCATCCAAATCCATCTTGCCATTTTTGAGACAAACACAAAAACATACACGAGTGAAAACATAATCTCCATCCACTTCAGTGGGAGAGGTAATAATGATTCCGAGTTCTTTATTTCTCTCCAATGTTGATCTTCAGCTAGTGTCTTCTGGACAAACTAAAGCACATTAACATAGCTCGTCATACAGACTTATCTCAAACTTAAGTCCAATCAAATAAAATCTTTCTGCATGCACAGAAATAAAGGAAGGTTGTTAGAAATGAGTGAATAAACACAGAAAAATATGGAGATAATTATAACAAATGAAAACAACGAAACCTTACTGTATCCTGTTACTGCTACTCCTGGATCATCTATATCAACAGCATAACTGTTTCGTGCACTGAGGTAATCCTCGGCCATGGGATTCCAACTATTCATATCGGAGTGGATTTCTATTAGATCACCCGAAAAATTGTGATGAATGAATACAAATTTAAAACAATCTAGGAATAAAAATAATAATTCCTAATTCTATTCAGTCTAACAAAGTAATGAAACAAAGAATACCAGCTACTTAGACTTACATATTCTTAAGTAAGTATTTGTCACTTTTTTTTACATGTATCAAAAGACATTGTACAAAAAAAAAATAGCTTGTGTTAAAATTAAATTAAATTTATATTTCTTAAATAAATCTTCTAACATTTATCTTGCATATCCCCTCCATTATTTGATAAAGAAGTATGTTTTAAACAAGAAAAATGCATGAAAGGTATTTTGGAAAATTCAGCTTCCATTTTATCATTATAAATATTTTGGTTATAGGGTATGGGTTTCAATTCTAATGTTTATGTAGAATCAATTTGTGTATAATAATTATTTTTATAAATATTAATTTTTCACTGATGACCTAAAGCTGTTAGCATTTCAGGCTAATGTAACTCTTCTGCGTCGGCCGAGTTATGCAAGGTGTTATTGAAAGTTCCGCCAAAACAAGCATCACCACAAACGATACCCACCGGATGGACCAATTCTACCTACTATTGATCAATTTTAAGTTCTCTTATTGTATCTTACCATACATTAATATAAAATAACTTTCATCTCTAGTGAAAAGAGCATGTAGAGAAGGTCTTACAAGTAGTCAAGACAACCCTTTTCCAGAGTAAGAAAAATTGACAAGTGTTGAGACTTTGTTACTCAGTTTGTGAAGTTCTAAGGTATATATATATAATATTAACAAATTATTACAGAATTACATGTATCGTCATCACAACTAGACTATATTATTAATATAATATTGTAGGCCATAAGGTGGATTCCCCCCCCCTCCTCCCCACTCCATAACCTTCTTTCTCTACTGAATGGCTAGTATGTCAAACCATAATATAGCAAACACTACACATTACAACTAATATATCTGGTTATTAATTAATTAAAACTAATTAATATTTTTAATTTCTCTTTTCTTTAGTTTGTGCGAAGCTACACGAGGGCTATTTGCACTAGCCATCCCTAATTTTGAAGTGGAAGACAAAGGCAGCTTGTCAACACTATCCACTGCTAACTCATGGACTACTCTTTACCAATGAAGAGTAGGATTGCCCATCACATTATAACTTCCCCGTGCCTGAAAGAGCAAGCCTAGTATAGTCGGTGGCAGGATTCGAAACTACGACACACAACTTTAAGTTGAGTGCATTAACCACCAGGCCATGCTAGGCCTGTTTTTTTTTGTTACTTTAATGTTAGTTAAAATGTCAACTTATGGTCAGAAGTTACCAATAATTACTCTTCAAATAACTTATATTACATAGAGGTTTTTGCAGTGTTGAATATACTGTTACGTAAAAATCTTACAAGTAATGATGTAAAAGATTATATAAAATAGAGTTAGTTCAAGATGGTGATGGTATAAAACAATAACATTCTACAATCACTAGTAAAAAACATATAAAATATTGTTGTAACACTCCAACTAAGATCACTTTTTTAACAGATTAAAATCAGATAATGCTGTTACTAACCAGAAGATGATGGATTTTGAACATCTGACTTTTCTAATACAACTTCTGGAATGACTTCTTCATTATCTTCTATTGATATTGGGGAAATATCTGTTTCAGCAAGCCCTTCTTCAACTAAGATTGAGTTAATCAGAATGTCACTTGAACCCTGAGTATCCCACACATGAACGTTGAAGCAGGTATCCTTCCTAGAATGAGCATTTAATATCAAAGTATTTCTATACATTCAGTTAGAACATTTGAAGGAATAACAATCACACAAATATGCCTTTTTTTTGCTATGCATCACATGCCTTTTCATAAAACACTGAAGTTATAATTTTCCTACACTGAAAATGTATTTCTGATAGGTACTTACCTCCTCTAACATAAATAGTTATTCTCTTTCAGTGCCGCCCTCTATATGCATAAAAAACAAACATTTTATGCATGCCACAAGCCTTCTATATCCCCTCCATTGGAATTGACTGATTCCAATGCATCTTTTATGCTACTAATATCAACGTTAAAAATATATCTATATGTTCAGTTAGAACATTTGATTGATTAACAATCACACAAATATCTTTTTCTTTTTTTTTGCTGTGCACCACACGTCTTGTCATAAAACACTGAAGGCATCGTATCATTCACCCGATATCTACAAATTAATGCCACACTAAAGTTACAACATAAATTATTTAACTCGGAATGTATTGTCCTTTAGTAAATTTTCAGAAAATCATATAGTAAAAGAAACTTAATATCTAATAAAAAATTATATTATTTAAAATACTATAACATCAATTTTCTGAAGTAATGTAACATTGAGTAATAATCTACATCGCCTAATACTGCTCGTGAAGGAACCATAGACACCAAAATCTCATGAAGTTAGCCCAAAATAATATCAAATCTAGAGTTGTTTGACTTCTAATGATACAAAAGTCTTTTTAAGAAAAATGTACAAAAAAGCAGCAAACAAGTTTGCTTAATTTTTAACACAATGAAAAAACGAACTCTCAAATGTATGGATAATTAAGAATAATATAAATTCTCTTCAATGTAAAAAAAGTTAACATCATATAGAGAAGACAACGTGTATGTTTAACAAAATTTTAATCTAAAGAACCCTTGTGAATTGAGGACAGATTTTCAAGTTATTTATTTACTAATTTATAGGTTTAACAGTGACTAGCTTCTTGTTTTCATTATTAAAATAATACTTATGCTGACAAAATTAGATATGTGCATTTATGTGTGTTATAAATATAATAAACTTTTCTACAAGATTCTATAAATTACAGTGATCAATTTTTTATAAAATTCCCATTTTATGTATTACAATTTTTTCATACTTTCAGAACAAACTATAAATTACTGCACAATATGCTAAGTTTGTTTATATATATATATAAATAATAAATCCTATGTTCAACTGTGGAATAATGAAACCAAAACAGCCTGTACGGTTAGCTAAACTTCTTGTAGAAAACCCACAACCTGCGACATAAAGTGATTTCTACCAGTCTTTTGTTTTAACTTGGTAATGACAAATTTGTTCCACATGCTGCAACTAAAGGTTACGTGAACTACAAATAACATTTATTAAAAGATACACACAGATTAATACTGGTTAGTGATATGTTAACAATGTTTTAGGTGTTCTTTTAATCTAATGATACTACTAACCAATTATTAACTTGCAAGAGATGGAGCTACAAAATAATAATATATATATATAAATAAAGTTGCCTCAAGACATAAAAATGGAACAGCAAATGTTTGTTTGGTTATATTAAAACTAGATTTACATATTGATTAATAACTTTTTGAACAATATTAAAAACTACCCAACTGAAAAAAAAAATCTTTCTCCCGATTAGCAAAACTTTTCAAATCCTTCTATTACAAAACATTGACATATTTTTTAGGTTGATAACATTTTCATAAAGACTAACATGCTCGTTACTCATCTAGATCATACATTACGAATTATTACAGTTTACATCAAAAGTTTCGGGCCCCTTCAGTCAAGTGCACTACGATCAAAAAGTAATAATTAATCCACTCTTTAAAATAACTTTGACACTTTCAATTCTCATCACACATAAAATCTATATTTTTTTAAAAATAAGTTATTTTAATTAATTCAATTAGAAATTGGGAAAATATCAAAGGAGTATAAAGGGATGATTTATATTATTTAGTACTCGGAACGGAGCTCCTGAGGAAACATACCTTGGTGTTTGTGTGTGTGATGTGGAAATAACTTGTATGCTGAGACATTTCTCAAAGCCCATCAATTCTATCATTCTTTTTCCAACATCCTCTGACCACCGTAAATCCAGTACGTTATTAGTATCATCTTTAAATCTCGTAGTCTGTGTACTTTTTGGTCTCACGTCAGCCAGAGAGCACCGGACAACAAAAGCTGGATATTTGGAAAATTCTACTGCCAGTGGATAAAGATCTTTCAGAGAAACCTTTTCTACATTTCCATAGTCAATGAACTGGACAAGAACTGGTGTTGAGGCATGTCTAAGTTTCCTTGATTTCCTTCTCTACATCGAAAGAAATAGACCCCTTATAATTTGATTTAGAATTTTATTAAAAATGCTCTTTCAAAACAATTTTTTGTCGGTCAAATCTACCAAACCTGCACAGAGGTTAATTACTGAAAATAACAGATAAAATATAAAGTTTTTTCTTAAGAAACGTTTGATAACTATCTGGACTTTATAAAAACTTTTCATGTGAAATTTCAAAATTTTCTGTAGATAAAAGT